AAAGAGTCCAGAAGGCCGTGGTCCGGCCCAACCTCTCCGAAGGGCAATTCGGTCATTTCCCCGAGGGAAATACTGAGAAATGGTAAGGTGTATCCCAGAGGCAGTCGAGGGCAGCACTGCCCCTGCTGCACTGGCTCCAGGCCGTCAAGCCCCCCAAACAAGAAGCGGTCCTAATCCACCCGGGCGGATCTTCTGGTAAGACCCCACGCTCTGGCCGAAAGCAAGACGCGGCCTCGGCGCTGGAAGGCGCGCCGCCGACTGCACTGGCCCGGGCCTCATCTGCATTTCCCAGTCGCAGCGGCCACTTTCACACCAAGAAAAGGCTGCACACGCCGTTCCGAAACGCGAACTTCGCAACCGCTGCCCAATTGGACCCCAACACCGCACTGGCGCGCTGCCTTAGTCCGGGTCCGCGGCTCGGAGACTGTCTCTGCACACTTGCTTGCGGTCTTGGCTTCCAGCCACTTGCACGTGGACGGACCTCTGCATCCCCGGGCCTGCCCGCCACCCCGGCCTCGGCCATGCGTGCTCATTCACCATTGGCCACACGACGCCAAGGCGGCAAAAAACTGACACAGCGGCATGCGGCATGAAGGCCAGGTGGCCTTCCCATGTACCCAGCCCTCTGGGCCCGACGTGCAGGGCACCGCCTGCGAGATGCTTTCAACCTAACCCCTCCAGGCCTGAGCTTCAGGTCTCAGGTGACTACTCTTCTCCTGGCCTCTGATTTCATCTGTGGACTTGGGAATGAGCCAGACGGATGCCCACGTGCTGCCTGCACAGAAGTGCCCTTGATAGGCCTCCTCAGCCAGGTTTGGGCCGAGTTTCTGACAGAGACTACTCTATTGATGTGGGGGTGCCTGAGGGACAATCCAGGGACCATTTCCTGACCTCTCACTCTGTCTGGCCCAGACCCGACATCATTGAGTACCATACAGGCATGGCCTTGGGTCAGCCACGATCAAGGTAGTCGTGGTCACTGAATACCTGCTGGATCTAGACCCTCTGGAACTGGGTTGGAGTGGGGAGGAGAGAAAAAGAATCTGTGCCATCCCTTCTGCAAAGATAACCGACCAAGAACAGCTCCTGTGATAATCTGATTGCAAAACAACAAAAGTTACACTTCAGTTGGCCTCTATTATCTTATTCAGTCGGCTCAGCAGCATCTTACAGAATTTCAAGGGTATGTTAGAGATCGTCTGTCTTAAACACCCTAAAAATCTAAAAATTAAGGTTGGAAGCAGATACCTCAGAGATGGGCAGAAGAAATGGAAGACAGCGAAAAGCCATCTGTCAGAGCCAAGCCTTTCCAGTCCTCAGGAGCTCCAACTCCTACTGGATTATCTGACCGAGTGCTAATTGGAGGTGACAGTTGACAGATGAAACTGTGATTTCAAGTGAGAGCCCTGAAAGTCAGAAGGGCAGACCTGACGTGCTATTGATTTGCAATTCAGCTGCTTCTCACATAGGCAACTAAAGAGTGCTCCAGCGACAGCAGCAGCAAGGATTTAATTAACTGCAGTTACTGATTTTCCCAGGCCATGTAGGGGCAGCTCAATTATGTGGAAATATGCATGTGATATGTATATATTTGCGGGGAAAAAAAAAAGCCTAGGGAGAAACGCACACCAAAATGTTAACATTCATTCATTCACCAGGTATTATCTATTTCGTGCCAGAACTTGCGCTACCAAGAATGAGAACTAGCTGACAGCCTAGCAAGGGAGACAAATGGGGCGGCAAAACTAACACGTTTCATTTTCTTCTGATTCTTCCCTGTGTCTTCCACAATGTGGATAGATACAAGTTTCCCACTGAAAAAGAAAATACTTTTCCTGGCAAAAGGTCAGCAGTCCTTCTGAGGCCGGAGTCAGAAGAGAGAGCCAACTCCTGAAGGCCCTCTGCTAACTTCCCAAGGTTCCCACGAAAAGAAAGGTGGCAGCGTCTTGTATCCCACTGTGCGATCCGAGACACCGGAAGTGGGGGCTCCGCGACTGACTCAAGCTGCGCGTTTCTCCTGCGGACCTGCAGACAGACTGCAGGACAGACGGCCGGCTAGAGGCAGAATCATGGCCGCCTTGAGGGAACGCGCCGGCCCAGGACTATCCGGCTTCACAACAGGTTCAAGTCCCACAGGCCTGTGCTGCCGGAAACGGAAAGCCTGGGGCGGGCTGGCGATTGGGCGCTGAGCCGGAAACCGGAAAGTGTGTGGTGACGGCCGCTATGGCTGAGGCGCAGGCTGTAGTTGCGGAGTCCCTGGCGGGCTACAGGGTTCGGGCGGCACGTGCGGTACTAGAGCAGGTGGTGCTCCCGGGTGAGGAGCTGCTGCTCCCTGGACAGGAGGACGGAGAAGGCCCAGGAAGTGCAGGGGAGCGACCGCTGCGCCTGAACGCCGGGGCGCGCTCCCGGGGGCGCGTGGTGTGCGGCCCGGGCTTGCGGCGCTGCGGCGACCGGCTGCTGGTCACCAAGTGCGGCCGCCTCCGTCACAAGGAGCCCGGCAGTGGCAACGGCGGTGGCATTTACTGGGTGGACTCGCAGCAGAAGCGGGTGAGCTGGGACTCCAGAGGGGTTGTACGGCCAGGAGAGGGCTGGGAATACTTTTCGGAAGAAGCACGGAAGGGGCCCGGAGCCCTCTTCTGTTAAGGCTAGCCAAGAGCCACCGTAGTCCTGTGCTTACCGCTGCACCTTCTTTAGAGGGACCGTGAACAACTGGAACGTGGCCCCAGACGGGCGACGAGGAGAGAAAGGAGTCTGGGAATCCTGGCACATAAGGGTTAGGGCTGTGAGACATGGTTATTGTCTTCAAAACCCCATAGGTCAGGGAGCAGAAGACTTGTCTTTCGGGGTCCCAAAGAGCCAGGCTTAATGAATAGATTTCACAGGGAGCTCAGTTTCTCTTGGAATAATTACGAACTCTCACATAGGAAAAAATTGTCTGACAATGGAATGGCCTTCCTTGGTTGTAAGGACCCCCTGTGTCACTGGACTCATGTGCAAACAGAAGCTAGGGAGTTTCTGATAAGAATACAGAAGAGGTAGGTGAAAGTGACTTAAATGAACAGACTGTTAGAAGCTGGAAACACGAGAGTTTATCATGTGATTGTTTTTCTTTTACTGAAAGTGACATAATCAAGTTTGTTGTAAGATTTTTATCGATTTGTAAACATGGATTTCAAAATATTTTCTAAATATTTACAATGACAAACATAAAGTAACCACGAAGGTCTTGCTGAAGATGTCTTAAAAATGATTGTCATTTGTGGTTGTGCTCTCATTCTGTTTTCTTTTGTAGTATGTCCCAGTGAAAGGAGACCACGTGATTGGCATAGTGACAGCTAAGTCTGGAGATATATTCAAAGTGGATGTTGGCGGGAGTGAGCCAGCTTCTTTGTCTTACTTGTCATTTGAAGGTGCAACTAAAAGAAACAGACCAAATGTGCAGGTAATGACAGGACCTTTGGTTTCAAAAGTAAGAGGAATATCCATTCCGTAAATGCTCAAATATCCAGAAGGCTACCGGAATGATCCTGTTTCCCTAGTTGTATAGGATGATCTCGGAGGATCTGTGTAATCACCCCAGGCTTCAAGAGTTCCTTCAGATGCTCCAGCTCTGGGACCGGAACCACATACTTATTTTACATATGCTATGTTGTTGGATGTTTTCATCTCTACTGAGTTGGAAGGTTATATGTGTTCTCTCTGTTATTTGTTATGTCCATATACACCAGACAAGGAAGTAAGCCATAGGCTCAGAGAGGAAGGAGAGAAGAGTGGTGGAAATTGCCATATCGGCCATCCATCTATCTTGGATGTGGGTCCCAGGACTGGCATTTCACAGCTTCAGTCACATCACTGTTTCCCAACAATCCCTTTTTGCAGCTGACAGAGGAGCAGTCTTGTTACCTCAGGTTTTCAATTTGGGCTTTTCAGGTAGCATGGCCATACTCTTCCTGTCCATCCAAGCAAGCCAGAAATTTGGTGGTTTCTTTGCCCTTTCTCACTCACCTCTCTTGTGTCTTTAGTTGCTTTATCTTACTGATCATTTTTGAGTCTCTCTGATCTTCCATGTCCACCCCTTTATTTCCACTTTGCAAGTTCAGGCTTAGCTATCCCTTGATGGGATTTAGTCACTGATCTCCTTAGTAAAGCCTGCCTGTACACTTTTGCCCCTCCTTTTAAGAGCTGACAGCCTCACACACCCCTTTCTCAAAAAAAAAAAAAAGTTCTTCAAAGCCTAATGTTTCCTTGGTATTATGCTCCAGAGGTCTTCCCTCATCCGTAATTATATCCTCCATGTGGCCCTGCCTGAACCACACCAAACTATTTAAGAGCACTACTGAATTCATAATTTCCTGCCCTTGTACCTTTGCTCATGCTGTTCCCTCTGCTTGGATGTCTCTTTCCCCTTCTTAGCCTGTGGAATACATGCTTATCTTTCAAGACCCAGGCTGAGCACCACCACCTCCATAGAAACATCCCTAATTTTCAGTCACTTTTCTTATTTACTAGATTCAGCCTTGAATGAAGTTTGTTGTTTATATGTATATCCCTACTGCCCTCCGAAACCAAATGCTTCTAAAGGCAGAGAATGTTTTGTTCCTCTAGTTCCTTGAGGAACTAACAATACTAGGTACTTAACAGAACAAGTTTACTCTCTCATTTCCTTAGTTTTGTCATTTTGAAGTTCAACTCTTTGAGGTTTTTAAAGTAAAATTTTTTTAAAAAATTTATTTATATTTATTTTTGGCTACGTCAGGTCTTCGTTGACGCTTGCGGGCTTTCTAGTTGTGGCGAGCGGGGGTTACTATTTGTTGTGGTGTGCAGGCTTCTCATTGCAGTGGCTTCTCTTGTTGCAGAGCACGGGCTCTAGGCATGCGGGCTTCAGTAGTTGTGGCACACTGGCTCAGTAGTTGTGGCTCACAGGCTGTAGAGCACAGGCTCAGTAGTTGTGGCGCATGGGCTTAGTTGCTCTGTGGCATGTGGGATCTTCCCGGATCAGGGCTCGAACCCATGTCCCCTGCAATGGCAGGTGGATTCTTAACCACTGCGCCACCAGGGAAGCCCCTAAAGTAAATCTTGCATGGAGAAATGTCACTGAATTACCAGTGTTCCATTTTGCTTTGAATAATTTGCATGCCAGGGGTTTCTGTAATTCTTTAAAGCAGTGCTGTGTAATAGAATTTTTTGTGATGATGCTAATGTTTTACATATGCACTGACTGTTATGGTAGCCATTAGCCACACATGGCTGCTGAGCATTTGAAATGTGGCTAATGCAACTGAGAAACTGAATTTTAAATATATAGTTTTAATTAATTTAAATATAAGTTTATATAACTGCATGTGGGTAGTGGCTACTATATTTTACAGTGTAACCCCAGAGGGTATTCTCTGGCTTCTTTTTTTTTTTTTTAATCAATTATTTATTCGTTTATTTATTTTTGGTTGCATTGGGTCTTCGTTGCTGTGCGCAGGCTTTCTCTAGTTGCAGCAAGCGGGGGCTACTCTTCGTTGTGCTTTGTGGGCTTCTCATTGCAGTGGCTTCTCGTTGCGGAGCACGGGCTGTAGGCTCGCGGGCTTCAATAGTTGTGGCGCAGGGGCTCTAGAGCGCAGGCTCAGTAGTTGTAGCACATGGGCTTAGTTGCTCTGCAGCCATGTGGGATCTTCCTGGCCCAGGGCTCGAACCCATGTCCCCTGCATTGGCAGGCGGATTCTTAACCACTGTGCCACCAGGGAAGTCCTATTCTCTGGCTTTGAGATGGCTCCCAGTCTGGGGATTTTTCTGGTGGGGGAAAGGTGGGGGTACATGCGTTAAATTGCCTTATTTTAAGGCACAACTCCAGAGTGACTGTGAGACTCCTGGAGTGTAGTCAGTCATTTAGCCACAGAACTGCAGGTGGCTGACATTGCTACCTATGGAAAAGAACCAACAGCAGCACCTATAGATGGTTTGTTGAGAGGAAATGAACTGTTTTTTAATTATCATTGTAGGTTGGAGATCTCATCTATGGCCAGTTTGTGGTTGCTAATAAAGATATGGAACCAGAGATGGTCTGTATTGACAGCTGTGGACGAGCCAATGGAATGGGTGTGATTGGACAGGATGGTCTGCTTTTTAAAGTGACTTTGGGCTTAATTAGAAGGTAAGTCCTGATGCCTTCTGGCTTGCCTGTTGTCTTTTATATTATACCTTCTTAGAAAGCTGACTTATCTGTGGGATCTAGGTTCTTCATAACAATGGCTGTAGCTCCTCAAAGTTAAAAATCAGTATCCATGGGGCTTCCCTGGTGGCGCAGTGCTTGAGAGTCCGCCTGCCGATGCAGGAGGCGCGGGTTCGTGCCCCGTTTCGGGAGGGTCCCACGTGCCGCGGAGCGGCTGGGCCCGTGAGCCATGGCCGCTGGGCCTGCGCGTCCGGAGCCTGTGCTCCGCAAATGGGAGAGGCCACAGCAGTGAGAGGCCCGCATAACGCAAGGAAAAAAAAAAAAAAAATCAGTATCCATTTTAGCACAGTTGTAAACTCATGCATTTAGTCCCATCCTCTCAATGTGAATACATCAAATTCGGATGTATTTGGCGTTATAGTTCGTGTTGATATGGAGTCTGGATTTCTCTGCTGGAAGGTTGGTTGTTCCTTATAGCTGACATACTCAGACCAAATGTGAAAACTGGCCTTCCCCCACTTCTTAGTCACTTGTATACAGGTGCAATTTACTATTGTACAAAATCATCAGATTTCTCTTATAATGGAAGCCAAATGAAGCTAGGCTGACATGATCCTCAAGCTTATACAGACATTCACAGAAAGCTCCTTCTTTTCTGTCCTGGTAGATTTAATAGTTCCCAGAAGCAGATTCTTTGTTAAGTTTAGACCTTTACCTACCCAAAGCTATGCCCTATTAAAGGGCTTTACTCTTAGAGCCACTGAGGTTCAGAGCTATCATGCATATCTCTTTGCTACTTATTCTGAAGATCTGCAGAATTAGTTCAAGAGATTAAAGAAGTATGTTATTAACCAAGCAGCACCTTTATGTTTTGAAAGAGTCAAGACTCCTCTCCAAGTATTGAATTTAATACCAAGGAATAACTTACATGGTTAATAAGGTTAAAGTGTTCTCTTAGCACCAGAGACAATAACAAAGCTACAGTTTGAAATTCAAGAATTAAGGTGCTCTGACAATGTGGAGGAAGAACTTTATACATTTTTTGTAAAGTTGGTGACATAGGGAGTTTGATTTCTTTGGAGAGGATAGTCCACCGTTGTGACCTGTGGTAAGCTTCTTGGAAGAAAGAGGGCAAACGTTGTCATGTGCCTTGTTCTTGGGATGATGTTGGTGGAGCTCTGAATAACTGTGGAGAACTGCTCAGAAAAGGAGACTTCTAAAGGAAAGTCAGGTCATACCCTGCCACTTTATTAAGTTTCATTTTCTTTCTCTTCCTCACCAGGCTGCTAGCTCCAGACTGTGAAATCCTACAAGAAGTGGGAAAACTCTACCCACTGGAGATAGTATTTGGAATGAATGGAAGAATATGGGTTAAGGCAAAAACCATTCAGCAGACTTTGATTTTGGCAAACATTTTAGAAGCCTGTGAACACATGACAGCAGATCAAAGAAAACAAATCTTCTCCAGATTGGCAGAAAGTTGATCTATGTGGGCTTTTTTATGGGTCAGTTGAGCCAAGAGACTCTGGGTTTCCCTGGGGGGAACGTTTCTCAGGTGAACCTCTCCCCATTAAATCTTCAGAAGACAAGGTGTCTTATTAGAGTCCTAAATAAAATATTTTTATTAAAAAGTTACTGGCTGGGGCTTCCCTGGTGGCGCAGTGGTTGGGAGTCCGCCTGCCGATGCAGGGGACACGGATTCGTGCCCCAGTCCGGGAGGATTCCGCATGCCGCGGAGCGGCTGGGCCCGTGAGCCATGGCTGCTGAGCCTGCGCGTCCGGAGCCTGTGCTCCGCAACGGGAGAGGCCACAACAGTGAGAGGCCTGCGTACCGCAAAAAAAAA